TGGCTATGATTTGTGATGACCCAGTTGCAAAGGAGGCTTAGAAAGGGGCAGTTTGGTCTCTTAGACTCCATAGTGGAGGGGAGCAACCGAAGGGAAGTGAGAACGGATATATAGGTGCCAGTAATCCTACAGCGGCGGTTGCATGGCTTTCTCTCTTTTTTTCTTATTTGGTCTAAGGCTTTTCTCTGGGACTCATTATAAACTTTAGCTCTGTCCAGAAGGAGCTTCGGGGACTTTGGCCCTAGATGTTCAACGTGCCTTTCCCTGGATATTTCTTTATCCGGATAGACAGCCCGAGCTGCTTCTGCACTTACAGAGTCACAGTCTGCTTGTTTAATTGGTTGACGGCGTGGGCTAGGACCGGCTAGCATTCTAGATATTAGGAACCCACCCACCAGGGTTGTAGTATCATACCAAAAGGGCAGAAATGGCAGAAACGGAGGTACTGATACTTTAGCCACGTTCGTTCATCTATGATGATGACAGATGTTTTGATAATCATCATGACAAGTGTCAGAAATATTTTTAACTGGAAGAAATCACAGCATATTAATTATCGTCGTGACTATCACAGCTGAACTCAAAGCACAGCATGAGATGGGTGAGCTGGCTGAAAGTATTGTAGAGAAGGCTTGTAGTCTTACAAGAAGCGAAGTTTAAAGGCCCAGCCTCCAGGGCTGCCGCCCGAAGCTTCTCTCCCGGTCTCGGGCTGACCACTCCTCTGGAGGCCGGAGAAGAACCAGCCCCATTCTTGGCTTCTCAACTTCCCCGTGTCAGATCATGATAAGATCGCCTGGACTGCACTTTTCAATACAGAACTCAGTCACATGCGACTAAGGGACATAAAAATGTGGTTCAACAATGCTAAAATCCTATGAACAATATAGCTTAATAATTGCTTGTGTGTGTGGAGTGAACAGTTAAGCAGGTCTGTTGGATCTTTTGAGTCAAAATACGATATCAAAATTAAATTCACTATATTCACTTTTTTAATGTGGTTACGAGACCATATTAAATTCAGTATATGGAGCTTGCATTCTATAGAACAGCACCAACCTAGGCCAAGGAGGCCACACTTCATCGAGTTTATAGGATGGGGTTAATTAGCCATTGTTCTATATTCTAATAAGTACCTAATGCATTTTAGAATAAGAATGAAAATTGTACCTATGTTTTCTTTTAACATGAAGAACTTATCTGTCCACCGTAAGTCATTTTTTGGCTCTACTGTCAGCCAGAAAGAATCGAAAAGTATGGCCCAAGACCTTAGACTCGGTTGTCAGCCTTGGGTTGCAGACACACTAGGCAGTCATACTAATGCCTGTGACAGATTGCAGATGAATGTGACATATTTCAGATGACAGAGACATATCTTCAGATGACAGTGACAGATTTCAGGTGACAGTGACAGATTTCAGGTGGCAGTGACATTTCAGATGACAGTGAGATTTCGGGTGACAGTGACAGATTTCAGGTGATGACAGATTTCAGATGACAGCGACAGATCTTCAGATGAATAGTGACAGATTTCAGGTGACAGTGACAGATTTCAGGTGGCAGTGACATTTCAGATGACAGTGAGATTTCGGGTGACAGTGACAGATTTCAGGTGATGACAGATTTCAGATGACAGCGACAGATCTTCAGATGAATGTGACAGATTTCAGATGACAGAGACAGACTTCAGGTAACAGTGACATATTTCAGATGACTGACAGATCTTCAGATGAACATGACAGATCTTCAGATGAACGTGACAGTTTTCAGATGGCAGTTTCAGATCTTCAGATGGCATGACAGATTTCAGATGGCATGACAGATTTCAGATAACGTGACAGATTTCAGGTGACAGTGACAGATTTCAGATGGCAGTTTCAGATCTTCAGATGAACATGACAGATTTCAGGTGACAGGAGGGCAGTCTTCAAACCCGCGAGGTTTCCTGAAGGAGGCCAGCCGGGGGTGGGCAACGGGACGGCGCCTTCTTCGAGGGGAGGTGTCTCTTTACCCCGAGACCCGTCAGGGAGGAACCACTCGTCACAGCAGTAAAGCAGCAAGCTCGGGCGAGCCCCGGCGGGCATCCTCGGGACCCCGACAGCTGCCCAGCCTGATTCAGCAAGACCCAAGGGCCACGTAGCATAGCCAATCAGGGACTGGGAGACGCAACGTCACGCTCCTGAGAGTCCTAGCCAATCGCCATGCTGCATTTGTATGGCCCGCCCCTTTACTGTAGTGTTTGAGGCCACAGGCGGCCATTTTGGATCCGGGCGGAAGTGCGATAAAAACTGGGAGGTTTAAAGCCTAGAATGGAAAGATTGACGTCGCCGCTGCGCGCCCTACACAGGTCACCTCCGCCGGGCCCACCGGGCGGCTGAGCCCCGCAGGGAACCCCAGGCGCCGCTTCCGCCCGCACTTACGATGGCGCCCGTCTGAGCGTCACGGGCGGCCGCGGCGGCGCGGTTCCGGGTTCGTCCGCCTCCGCGGCGGCGTCGGAGG